GATATGTATGTGGAGGGAACAAAAGACCTGATGGAAATGATTATGTATCTCCCTTTTCAACCAGCCGACACAAAAGAAAAGAATCTTGCCTTAATCATTGAACGAGCTACAACCAGATACTTTCCTGTTTATGAAAAGGTAAGTGTTAAAACACAAGCAGTCCACAAAGGCAGTAAAGTGGGGAACAGGTTCCCTCCCCACTCCATTTTCCTGTTGCCACACGCCTCCATTTCAGATGGCAAAGTGACAGTGTAGCTCTGGAACTGTATGATGGAGCCAGTATTCAGCATGGAGGTGTAAGTAGTAAAACTGGCAGATTTTGCTAGGGAAAATTGGGACTGGAGAAAGAATTGGCTTCCAAAGTTACAGACTGATGTTCTAGTTTTAGCACGCATTTGATAGTTAAGTGCAGCATTAGAGTAGCATAGACACAGACACGTTTCCTCCTCTTGCTCCTGCAATGTTCACCACAACTTGTTTGTTACAGCAGTTGGTAGCTGTGGCAGGCTGTGATTCTTGCATCTTGCATCTGTCATTCTTTGCCGTGAAAGAATCCTTCCATGCAGGGGGAAGGGTGGAAAGGCTGCTTTCTTTCATTCCTGACCTATTTCAAACTATAATCAGCAATCCCAGATTTGCTCAAACACCTAGGAGTTCACTTGACTTTAAAAAAAATAATTGAAGTATCCTACAGGTAAACTCTCCTGACTACCTCTTCCAGTTACTTTAGTCCTGTTTCTTTTGGATGAATTAAGTCTTCTTCTGGTACTGGATTTGTTACAGCTACCTACTGCAGTAGGTCAGAGTGAATAACAGTTCCACGCACACTGAAACATGAGTTCTGATTTAACTTTCTGTCATGAGAATACCTATCACTTTCTAAGGTTATAGGTTCTTGCACGGATTTGCTCTCGTGTGTTTTTTTTAGAAATCCATCTGTAATGAATATCTAGATAAAATGGTTACCTCCTATTGCCTTTTTAAACTTGTTTGTATTTTGAAGGCCTTAAAAGACCATGGCCAGGATTATCTTGTTGGCAACAAATTAAGCTGGGCAGACATCCATCTGCTGGAAGCCATTTTAATGGTAGAAGAATGCAAGCCTGGTATACTGTCTGCATTCCCTCTGCTACAGGTTAGTAATCATCAGGTCTCAATATGGAATATGACAAATTTCACTGTCCAGTTTTAAAAGCTAATTGACGTTTAAAGCTTTTGAATTACTGTATCATGTTGTATCATGTTGCTGATAGTTCTCTGTCTATTTCTCTTGCTTTGCACTGTGAATGAATCTTAACTCTTGAATATTGTTTTTTTCACATCCCCATTTGGGAAACTAGGGTAAACTTGTAGCACCATCATTCCAGATCAGAATACTTACACCTGCATTTTCGAAGGTGGCTAGTATGTTGTAGGTGTATTTTTGCCCTTTTTCATTTTTCCCAATGGAAAATGCTTGAGTGCTGAGCTGCCTGTAAGGGCTACTACCTTTTGTGTTTAATAACCACGTCTGAGAAGTGAAACTCCAAGTTGCCTGATTTTTAAGCTATCAGGGATGGAATTACAATTTACTTACGCTAATTGGCTTTACTGCTGCTTTTTACAGGCTTTTAAAGGAAGAACAAGCAACATTCCAACAATCAAAAAATTCTTACAGCCTGGCAGCCAGAGGAAGCCACCAACAGATGAGAAGACTGTTGCCATGGTGAAGAAGATATATGGTATCTAACCACGTGGCTGCTTAAGATAACATAACTGTAGTAGATTACCAGAGCTGTGCCTTGTTAAGTGTAAATTGCATAGATGCTTCTGTGGTTTGCATCATATAGCCTGTGATGTCATAATCATGGAAACAAAATACACTTTTCAGCTACAGAAAAAGTCAAATTTATATCTGTTGAGTCCAGAAAATAGTATTTTGTGGAGCAGCTGCATGAAAAGAAGTAAGCTGATACTTTGTGTTTCTTTGATGACAGTACCTGCCTGGCAGGGTAATATGTTTCAGCTATAGGTTCCAGAGTACTGCAGAAAGACTATCCCTTCCCCTGCCCTTCATTAAATAAAAGTAAAATAATAATAAAACAAAACTCATGATGTTTGTAAGTTTATGGACAAAACTGATAAACTTGTTTAGTCCCCACAATATCTTTTGGAAGCGCTTTGTTCACTGAAATATCAAAGTACTTGTGTTTAATTAGCCTGACGTGGTTTTATCCATTGGAAGCACCTATTCTCTTGCTCTTCTTTTTGCTGTTTGGCTGGATGGTCACAGTGAGGAGATGCCACTTGATGGGTTTTTTGGAAAGGTTTTAACTTCTCCAGACACTTCCCAGGTAGCTGTAAAGAGAACTGCACTGCCTGCTTGCCTTTTCAGTAAAAGAGTTTTATTTCCTCAGTGCTTAAAACATTCACTACTGCTTCAGATGCTTGATCCTGATTTCATGGGAACCATCACTGTTTCATTTACAAACAGTACCACAAACTATTCCTCATCCTTGAGGTTAGTTGGTTTTTTTTCATAGGACTTGAACTGATGAGGCAGTGAAAACATTCATCCACTGTACATACAGAATTTTAACTGCCAGCAAAGTTAACTCCTTTTCCAGCTTGGGCATAAAAGACACTGCTTTTCAGAGGTACAAACTGGAAATGCCTCAATCACACAGGCACTGCTCAGATCAGCTAAATTTCATGTTAATATCACATTTTAGGTAGCTCAAAGTAGTAGTTTGCCATGCGCACCATAGTACTCAAGTTCCAGAAAAGCACTGTGAATGCTGAACCATCTACAGAGACCGGCATGGGACATCACCTTTGCATTTTGTGTCCCCAGTCCCATAGGGACTTGCTGAGAAGGTTACTTGTTTGAGCTACTCAGGGATTTCAGCAGAAGCTTCTGGATTACAACTGGGCTTGGATTTACTTAGACATCTGAGCTGCTCCCTTGTCCCCATCTGAACTCCTGCCTAGAACAATAAGTTGGTATTCTGCTGGTTGGTTTGTGCAGCATTAAGATCTGATATATGATAGTCTTTTTAAGCAAGCTCTGCATGAAAGAAACAAAAAGAAGCAAAATGTCTGTTTTCAACAGTGCACTTACCCATAGTCAGTCTCCTAATGAACAGGCCACACATTCCTGTGCACCAGAAGTCAGTCTTAGCTAAGCTTTGAGACCCAGTGAATATTTAATTCTTTTCTATGCAAGCCAAAGTAACTTCAATCCCTGAAGAGTTTATGCCTGAATAGTCTCCATTGTGTATGGGGAGGGTTTCAGCAAGATAATCTGTGTAAGACCACAAACAGCAACTGTGTTAGATGAGTACTAGAGTGAGTTTAGATCCTGTTTGTGCATGATGGTGATCGTTCCTCAGCTGTGGTTCATGCAAGTGGAAATTTACAGCATGGTATGTTTTAAACCATACTGAGTATAAAGCAGATCACTCTGAGAGACTGATCTGAAATCAGACTCCACTGTCCATTATCTCAAAGATTAGTCTGAGGTATTAAAATGGGACTCCACGGTGGGGGGTGTTATGATAAGACTCTTCCATCCACTGCCTGGGAGAAAGGAGTGAGGAGCTGAATTGGGACTCCATTGTCCATTACCTCAAGGACTAGTGTGAGGAATTGCTACCCAATATCCTGAGAATTGCTGCAGATGTATGTGTGCAGACACACGTGCAATTGAACAGCTGCCTGCATGACCAGGGAAACTGGTCCACCAGGAACATGTAATAAGTGACATGAAGAACAGAGGTACTCCCCCCAACTCATTATAAAGTGGGAAAAGGTAATCACCAAGGCACATGGCCAGGGAGCCATTGCCATGAGGATGACTCCAGAAGGACACCTCTGTGAGGACCCTCTCTGCCAATGACTACTACAGACTCTGTGGAACACCCCCCATGAGACATGGCCACGAGGGCAACTCCATGAGACACACTCCACAGGGTACCTTCAAGGGGACTCCAGAAGGACGCCTCCATGAGGACACCAGCCTCCAATGGATTCTTGGGGGACACTGCTCCAATACTGACTACGAACCCTGAAGAACTCCCATCACTGACAACGGTGACAACAGATCCCCAGGACACCGCTGGATCCATGGTGGTGACTCTCTCTCTCTGCACCCTGAATCCTTGCTTCATTTTCTACTTTTTTTTTCTGATCTGTCTTATTGCTATCCACTTTATTACAATAATTTCCCTTTTTTATAGTAACTTTTTGTAATTTGTAATAAACAGTCCGATTACTGTACTTGACCTCATTTGTGTCTTAATTTCACTAGTGGGATGTCGTGGTTTAAACCCAGTCAGGCAACTTGTTCACTCACTCCCAGTGAGTGGTGCCACCCTGACAACAATCGAGGCCCCCACCCCCCCACCGGCGCTCTCCCCTTCCCCCCCCACCGGAGGAATGGGGAGGAGGATCGAAAGAGTGCAACTCCCACGGGTTGAGACAAGAACAGTCCAGCAACCAATGTACAACACAAATCACCACCGCTGCTACCAACAACAACAATGATAAGGGAAAATAACAAGGGAAGAGAATACGATACCACCGGCCAAGAAACGAGTCCCACCCGGAAGCCCGTGTCCTTCCGGGGAACTCCCAGTTACCCCCCACCCTGGGCATGACGTGCTGTGGTATGGAATACCTCCTTGGCTAGCCTGGGTCAGGCGCCCTGTCTCTGCTTCCTCACAGCTTCCCCTCCTCCCTGGCAGAGCATGAGCCTCACAAAGTCCTTGGTCAGGGTAAACATCACTGAGCAACAACCGAAAACATCGGTTTCACCAACATTGTTCCCAGGCTGGAAGTCAAAACACAGCACTGCACCAGCTACCACAAAGGAGAAAAATGACTGCTACTGCTGAACCCAGGACATGGGATCACAAACAGAAATGGTCCAGCACTGGGGTTTTTCTCCAATCTGACCCTGATAATCACCAGACTCTTTCGTTGACAAAATGGTTCACTAGTCTGCATAAAAAACTAAGAAGTTTCAAGCATTTTGCATTTTATTTGAATACTGATAATATTTTTTACATTTAGAAACAGTGGGGTAAGAAACTGTGTTTGAAAGGAAGGTGGGTTTTCTAGTGCAACATAGCACAGGCCCGAGCCTGTACTGATTAGTAATTGACAGTGAGATTAGAATTGATTACTTAATCTCAGAAGCTAGAAAATTATGGTTCAGTACAACATACCTTTTTAGCAAAACATGTATTTATATATATCCTTCTCTCAGAGATGTAGTGAGTGCAAGACTAACTCAATTTCTTGCGGTGCTCAGCACCCCTAAAAGAGATAAAACTTACAGAGAAAGATCCCTTGAGTTAACAGAGTGCTTAAACAGAAGTAGATCAAAATATATTATCAACAAGCCACCCGTTTTAGTTTAATAAAAAGCTTGCAAAATATCAGCAAATGTCAATAATCAAATAACAGGTACAGACCTTTTACAGAAAAGATAAATGCAATGCAAGTAAGACTTGTGTTCAAACTTGTCCTTCAAGTATGAAGAGCTTGCCTGTTTGTTCGGTGGGTGTGGCAGTTGTACTTCAATTCTGACTCTGCCAAATTCCCCTAGAGCAGCATCAAAACAAGCCTCAAAATCATCAGAAGGCTGCAAGAAAGAAAAAAAAAATCAACCCCCCTAAAAACCTCAGAATAATAAACCCCATAAATATAGTTATGAAAGTCATCGCTGAATAACAGCACATTCATAAATACCTGACACTAGAGCCTCTAGTAAGCAATCTTTTAAAAGATCTAAATCTACAGCCTCAGTGTCTATGGAAACACACAGTCCACCTAGGCTTGAAAAGCAATCCAAAATGGAAATTTTCCAGTTTAGGTCCTGATTCTTAAGTTCTGTAACTTGACAATTTGCATCTTGATTTTTTCTTCCCTATATGTGAGTAAAACTGTTAATGGTGTTATATTAAATGTAGTAACAACAAAGCAACTAGTTATTACACCTTCAGAAGGTGAAGATTCTGACTTACAGTTGAAAAATGTTTTGAGTTACAGACTGACTGGGACAAAAGTAAAAAATGCTTGTCTTTTCTAAGATTACTATGTTGGATTAAATCTGATGACTAATTTTATGCATATGTATTTGAAAACACTGAGGCTTACCTCAGGTTCTTCCAAGAGCCTTATCAATATGCATTAATATTTAACTGCAGATCTCTCCTTTCTGTGCTCAGAAAGTCAGTCCATGTCAGATGTATCCGCCTAGTGAGATGAAAAAGCTGTTCACTGGAAAGAGGACTGTGACCTCCAAACTAATTTCGCTTAAATCATACAGTTGCTGGATGATAATAACTTCCACTGATACTGGTTTGAATCATATATCACATGGCAACTACTTGAAAATCAGTGAAATATTTACATTAAGATCCTCAATATATGTTTACCTCAGGCATGCTACTAGTCCGGCTGGCATTAATTTCTTGGACCTCTTGAACCTCATTCCCATTATAATGGTCAAAAGAAAAGATGAAACTGTAAAAGACAATTCAATATATTTATGCTCTCAGTTGTCCCATTGGACCATTCAGGAACATGGATAGTTATCAAAGGTCATTGCTGTTTTACTATGAACTGTAATATAATAAAACATCAGGTCAGAGACAGGGTCTATAAAAACATTCTTGCTTTTCCAAAATACACTGCTATGATTTCTTTCAGCTACAAATAAGGTTTTCACATGCAGCAGAATGCTAAATCCTATTTCAGAGATACTAAGTAATTTTGTCAGACAATGAATTCTACTTCCCTATATTCATGGGGATACAAATAAATTGGGAGAATCTTCATCACAACAGTAACATGTATGCTAAATTAAAGGAACAGTGCCTTATAAATCCCACCACCCTAGATCACTGCAGCTGATTTCTAACTATTCAAAGAGCTAGAGCATCCAACTTTATCTGTTTTGGTTTTAGAATGCTAGCTCTTAATTTGCTAAGCCTTAAAAACTAGATTGGAAGGATTTCCACTTGTTTTAGGTACAGAATATGGCTATAAGCACCTCCTTCATCATGACCACAAGTTCACTCATTTCCTATGAGGGAGCCATCCTTGTCTGTGACAAGAGATTGGCAGCCCAAGAGGGCAACAAATGCAGTGCCAGCAGCAGAGAACAAACATCATGAAAGGAACTGAATCTTCTCCCTGGAGCAGTTTTACCTAAAAATGGAGGTAGCAATGAACTGATCAAGCATGGGGATTTCATATGAAACTACGCCTGCAGAGTGCTACATAAAGGAGGAGACTGATGAGAACACACAGAACTCTTCAAAGACAGCTAGTTTTGTTAAAGAAGTGTCACCTGAAATGCTTTCTAGAAGTGAGCAGAGAGGCAGAACTTCTCATAGGCAACTGGACTCTTGCAGTCAAAGAAACGTCAGTTACATAAATCTCTTCTCTTTTTTTTTATGGAATAGTTAAAACCACCTGGGTAATTCTCTGCAAACTCTGTGGACAATCCTGTGCTTACAGGCATCAAGAATTAGTTTTAAAATCCCTCCAGCATTATAAAACAAGCTCTGACAGTTACAAGCATCTTACAAAACTCTACCAGCTGCGAGCGTGTAATCATTAAAAACACCCTGCAAAAAATCTATTATGCTCCATTATCCATTGCTTTTATTTTCTGGTCCTATACCCCTGATCCTTTCAGGAATGTTTGAAGAGTGGACTATTCCACAGTATGCATGTTGCCAGAGCCCTGATTATATTTGCAATTAATTACAGGCTACAAAGCCTGTTCACTCTATAACTTTTTTTTCCTGGTTACTAATATCTGGCTTTTCATGTGTTCCAGTGAGTTTTCAAGTCATTCAACTTTTAGACCTGATTTTCAGAAGTGATAATATTCACTATTTCACCTTAAATCAATCAAAGAAATTCAATAAACCAAGCCAAATTCAATTCAGTAAATCAGATTCAGATTAGAAATTCGATCAATTAGATGTATCAACTTGCACTCTGAATAGCACAAACTGTGGCATACTGAATTTCTACACCTACTTCAAACACATAAAATTGCATTAAAGTATTCAAGAAAGCACACAGTTAATTTCAGGAGGAGTGGGAAAATGCCTGAAAGAATAATACATAAAACAACTGAGAAAATTTGCCTGGGTATCTGTATGCTACATACTCTTTGTATATAGGACAAGTTACAAGAATCCTACTATCAAGGTTTCATACTAAAACATTACTTGCATAAGTGATAAATACTATAGATAATTATCAGTTTGGAGGGGGATTTTACTTTCTCCCTAAGCTTTTACAGGTTTGGGTACTTGTTTAATTTTGCATTGCAATTTACTGTACTGCTAAGTTCAGAACAGTCACTTTCTTCCATGCACTTAACTTCCTTCCATTTGTACTCTAGTTGCTTTTGGCACTTTGGGAGGTTTGACATAAGAACACATTCTGATTTTCTACAAAAGCAATACACCTTTTTTACAGAAAGCCCTTATTATCCTTATGGGCAGATACAGTAGCCACCAAAGTTTTTTAAGGTGTGGACTTGCAGATGTTTTTGAGCATGTAAAAATCTCTCCCTTCCTCTGAAGTCTTCCTACTGAGTTCTTTATTCATTTGTGACATCTATGCACATAAAAACCAGAAGACACCCTCTCCCAGGCTGAGATACATCCACCTGGAAGAGATTAAAATCACCTTGAATGGTTAGCCCTGGCAGAGTACTTCGTATGAATACTTCCTAATTCACTTCAGGCAGAAATTACCACACATAGTTCAGACACCTTTGTTTTATTCAGCACAGGTGAACCTCGAAGAGGCCACCCATTCATAGCCAAGGATAAATATAAGTTTAGGTTTTAAGCAATCAGAAAATTACTTTATAATCATTCTAAACTAAGACTACTTTAAGAAGTCTTTGTTCCTTTTACTCTACATATAAGAACTTTGTAAGGCAAGTATAGTGAACTCTTCTCATCTGTATTGCTATAATTTCTATTAAATTAGTAATATACATTTCTCTAGTTGAAAGGAAGTCCTCACAAGCCTACAGCTACACGAAACGCACAACACTGTCAATATTTTAGTATATCTGATGTTTGTATTAGTCCTTTTCAAATGAGGGAACTGGGAAACAGGCAACGTTTAGTAAGTTTTAGCTAGTATTCTCTTCCAGAAATTCTGTATCCAAATTAGTAATTTGATTAACCCATAAAAGTACAACACTGTATGCTAATATGCTACTTAAAATCACTCTGTGATTCTACGATCAGGTACGCCACTGCCACCTTTATTAAAGAACTAGGTGGTAACACACTTTGCTAACGATTCTATTCAAGATTTTTTGAACTCAGAAGTTTTACAACTGTGGCTGGTGTAAAACACAAAGCCAGCATGAACAGTACACCATAAATTCTAACTAAGTCTAGAAAAAGTGACTGTGTACTTATCTGGTACAAAATTGTGCATTATTAATCACAATGGTGATTGTGCATTATCTGGTTTAAATGTATTTTAAATGCATTTCTGCATATGAAACTACAGCCTAAGCCACCTTTGCTAAAATCATGAGATAAGCTCCCAACAGCTCTTACTGCAAATCAGTTGTGTGAGGCTAATGTCCCCCTTAGAGATTGTAGTTTCTTGCCTCCATGAGCGTTTCATGGCAAACTAGGTAACATGACAATTACTGCTGTTTTGTACCCTGTATTTCTTAGCAACAAACTAAAAAAACTAAGTCAAACTCTTTGTGTCACTGGGAGCTGAGGACAAGTTACTGCAAGACTGGATCCCTCACCTACTCCTCAAATTACATTCGTATCTGAAGTGCAGATTACTTTATTCTAGTATTTTCCCATGTTTCTTTGCTGGCTTTCACAATATTTGCAATGTTAGGTAACCATCTAATAAAAGGAGGTACTGCCAGGTGGAAAACACCTGCTGGCTTTGTGTGAATGACTGCCTTACCCTGCAAATAGTTCTACAGTTCAACTCTTGAATTTTGCAGGTTGTCAAACTGTTTAAAAGCTAACACTTAAACCAAAGTAATACTCAAAGTTTGATAAAACAGAGAATTATACATCAAGTTCAGGAAACTGGTGTGCTTTTTTTTTTTTTTTTGGGGGGGTGGGGAGAAATAGGGTTTTGTTTGTTTGTTTGTTTACTGTAGTAAAACACTTACACAATGATATCTTCACATTTCTCGGATCACGTGTTATGCAGTAAGCTCCATAACCAGCCACAGAACCGAAGGTGAGACCAGCAGCTAAAGAGATTTTACTACCTGCAAGAAACCACTGAAGTGTTATTTCTCAATGCAGTGTCTTTAATCTCAATCTTTTCACAGTAGTTCTCTCTCTACATAGTGTTATCCAAATATTTTAAAAATAGAACTGATTTTGCTACACTGCAGTTAGCTCAGCCAGTGTGAATAGAGAGGCAGTATCTCCACAACTGGGTCATTCTCTTGCATGGCATTAGGGGCAAAGTTGACTAAATTACAGGAAGATGATCAGGAGCTAGTAATACTTGCAGTTTGGGAAAAATAATCTTCAAAGCACAAACCTAAATTTGGCTGTTTTCTCTACCACACATACATTTAGAAGCATTTTTTGTAATTTCTCTACACAGTCTGTTGATTTTAACTGTTTTACAGCACTTGGGAGTCTCCAAAAATGGTAGAAATATGTCAATATATATAAAGGGGTAAACTGGACCACACATGTATTCATAGGCCTTTCAGTCTGATATCAGTCCTGGACAAAGAAATGGCATTACCAACATCACAATAAAAAATAAAACACAAATAGATCACAATGAAGATGAAAATTTGTCTTTTCAAAGAAACTTGACCCCTTCTTTCAGTGCCATTACAAAACTGGTTCATAAAGTAAAGCGTTTCAGTAATATTCTTAGGTTTCCAAATAGGCATTTGACTCTGTACCACGATAAAAGCGTAGAATCAGCACAGCAGGCATTATCTGCATTAAGCTGATCCCCAAATCTTTATAAAGAAAGAATCCAGACCCCCAGATGTCATTTAGCTCCCAGTCCTGTTATAGTGAATCTTTTTAATTGAGAGTTTGCAAGAAAACAGAAATTATTACCAGTAGTGGATTTGCCACAGGGACTGACCAACTATTAAAGAGTGAACAGAACAAGTGAATGAGATAGTCAGTGGGTACAGCTGGGTACAAATCAGGAAGTCAGATATAAAGCCATGTCTCTAAGGGCAAAGTATGTGCACGCTAACCGGGGAAAACAGCGACTATATCACAGGAATCGGGATGGATGATGGCCACAGCGGACAAGACTGATGTACTGCCGGGGTATCTCTGCACTGTGGGAAAGATCACAGGGACCAGCCTGGAGAGCCTGCCTGCTCGTCCTCGGTACCACTGCGACCTCTGCCGGGGTGCTCGGCTCGAGCACGGCTTGAACGGACTGCAAAACCAACTGGAATATGGAAACTGCGCTTTATAACACGTGTTAACCTAAAACCTGTCTGATTATCTTCGAGTGAAAATGCACAGCTCTAAGAGTATGAGATAATTAACCACCAAATCAGAATGCGCAAGTAAAGGGTTTTCTTTACAGTGTGCATCTGTGAATCTCAGAATCGGGCCTGGATGCTTCCACAGAAAACAAGCTTTAATCAAAAAATATCCTCTGTGTTCAACACAGGGCTGGTTAAAGGAAATGAAAAGGCCCCAAATATGCTGAAGGTCAAAGATAACATGACAGCCCTTTCTGCCCTGGAAACAAACTCATCAGCTAGATTAACAGAAAAAAGTGACCATTTAAATGCTTATGTTGACCCAAGTAAATCTCATGAGACTCAGCTCATTTACAACAGTGCAGGATGGATTTCAGATGCAGTTGTATTCATCATAGCAAAGTTTTCATGTCTTGCAGTATTTATTTATTTTAAGAAAGTGCAGAGGAGAAACCCCCCCAGTACTTCATTTCCAAACCCTGCTGTATTTACCTTTACGAGTGTATGCTACAACACCTCCAACAGCCAGCAATGCTGCATATGCAAAACCAATCCAGTCAATAGCCATGGTCCCAACTCTGGAAAACAAAACACATTGCAACTGAAGACAAAATCTTTCCTCCTGGTAAAAAAAAACAAACAACCCCAAAAACATTATTTAGTGTTCCAAGTAACACTACAATCTCCTAAATCATGTTTAACTACTGTGTGAAGACATTGAAAAGGTTATAGGGTGTCTATTGGCTATTGTATTATTTTTTCACTAACTGCTGCCCTTACACCTCAGTACGAAGGTACACTGTACTTCCAGCAGGGGAGATTGGCATTTTGGAGATGTATGTGGCATGCTTTTTCTCAGTCAAACACGCACGCATGCAAGCAAAAAGCTTGACACCACCCCAAGGTTTTGTTGTGCTTGTGCCACACGGCTGATCTGGGCATACACTACGGATACATACAGGTCTTGCCAGTGCACAGCTCAGTGCCTCGTCAGCAAGGCTGTACTTCTGGTACTTCAAGTGGAATGTGACAGGCTTGGTAACATCAAGTAAAAAAAGGAATTTTCAGAGTTTACCCAAAGTTTCCAGACAGGCCACCTTTGGGAAGCTATACATACAGAAGATTGATTCATCCTGTCTGCGCTCCTTTTGTTTCACCTTTAGATTTTGATGCACTGTCCCAGGTTACACTTCTGTTCTCCAAAAAACACTTCAATTCCTGTTTCAACACTGATCTCTACTTCCCCTGCTGTGCTTTGTAAACGCATGAATGGCCAGACAGCTGCAGCAGCACTATGGCCTCTCTCCCACCAGCTGGTGGAATACACCTCCTTCACCCAGATTAAGTGTGTACTAATTAAGTGCATCCTTCTTTCTACCTGAGTGGGTGTGGTTTTGATCACAGCGTCAAAGGGGTAGCAGGAAAGAGCACACAGTCATCATTTTACATCAATCCTATAATACTGAAGCAAGCAACTCACAGAGAGCACTCACCCTGCCCTTAGCTGTAACCCCGTCAGGAAGCCGAGTGGGGTTAAGGGGGCCGTGGCACCCCTAAAACAAGATCTGCGGTGGTAGGGGCCAGGTTGAGCCCAGCCTCTGATCCACGGGACCTTCGTGGCCTAGGCAGACAGCCGAACGCTCCGGCTCAGGGGTGGCCTTAGGCCTTCCATCGCCCACCCCGGGCCCGCGCTCTCCGCAGACCCCTCTCGCCGCCTCCGCTCCGCGCAGCCCCGCGCTCGCTTTCCCGCTCGCCGCGGCGGAACCCGCTGCCGAAGCCAGGCGGCTGCCGAGGCGAGCCCCACCGCCCTCCCCACTGCTCAGCACCTCTAGACACGGCACCGCACCACCGTACCTCATCCCGCAGCGCCGTTCTCCGACCTCCTCCGGCCCCGCCTCCCTGGCCGCCAGGCACCATTAGGCGGCGCGGGGCCGGGGCTGCGGTGCTGCTGAGCCAACGGCGGCCGCTTCCCTACGCCCCGTCCGGCTTCTGGTCATCCGTGAAGGAGGAAGGAGGGCGCCTACCGCCATTGTGGCGGCAGGGCTTCCGCTTGCGGAGCTCATTGCACGGGGAGAGCCGCGTTTTGCTGTGCTTGCCTGAGCCGGGAGGTCAGGAAGACGGACCCGTGTGGCCCAGGGCAGCGAGCGGGACCTTGCACCGTCTTTGTCTGGCTCCCTCGGCGGCAGGGCCCACCTCCGGGGTTAGTGTCTTCTGCCTCCTGAGGCTTCTCGGCCGGCTCGTCTGCCTGGGCTTCACTAGCGCCGGGAAGATCTGTGGCTTATTTTAGCCTTATAAACCTAAAAAACCCAGCCCTGCATGGTGCAGGTGGAAGAACCCATGAGCAAGAGTCATGTCCGTGGCGCTGCTTGTACTCGAAGGGTGCACATCCCATGGAGACAAGGGCAGGGGCTTGGTGGGGGTCTTCTGCCTGCACCACCCTAGAGACACCTGTGAAACTTTGAGGGTTGCCTGCATGAAGTCATGCAAACATAGACCCAATGCTAACGTTTGTCAGGGGAAAGAACAGGTGCAAAGCTCAAGGCTGAGATACTACACACGTAGCTAGTTTATGAAAATGCTTGACGTGGTTATTTGCACACTTGGCTGGTAGCCCTGTTTGCTGAAGCTATTCTAAAAGCTATTTTTGTGCCTGTTCTGTCATCCTTGGTGGTATTTCTTTATTTTTTTTCTCAAGTGAGCTTGTTCTTGATCCGCCAGGATGGGTCCTTCAGCAGTAAGTTGGGGGAGCCTGCCTGCAACATTCCCCACGCTTCCCTTGTTCCTGCAAATAGGCTAGGCATAAACATGGCCATAACAGGGAGGGACGCACAATGCTGTGTGATGGGATTTGGATAGCTGCCTTCTTTAGGGATCGTTTGAAAATCCTTGCCAAAATCTTCTGTTTCCTTTAGATTTCTCTGCCTAAAGGTGTGAGAGTTTTCCGCTCCAAAGAGCTTGCTGGAAAGTAAATCAGTATTCTCATTAGGGTTAACATATTTAATTTCTATTCCTAGCATGCTGTTTGTTTTTTTTCTGTTAGCATTTAACTGCTGTGATACAAACCTTTTCCATGTGAGCTGTCCAAGTCTCTCGGAGGAAAACAGAATCTTCTCTCCTTATCTCACCAGTATCTGTGGGAAGGAAGACTGGAGGTACAGCAATTTTGGAAAACAAACATAGGACACTTGAGGGCAGGACGGCTCCAAAATGCAAATGGAAAGCAGATTCATAAGCTGAAATCCAGAAATCTTGGATTTCTTTATGAAGTATTCTGGGACTTGCGGCTCTTGAAAAGCACAGTAAAATAAACAGTGGATTAAATGAAGCAAAGCCATGCAATTCTAGTTGAGGGAGCTCCAAAGTGGAACAAATAGAGTGTTTTTTGGCACCTCTAGGATAATGACTACTTGTGGTTACTGATTCAATGATACTCCTTACCAAAGTAGACTGGATAACCCTGAAGTCTGGGCTAAATTTGAATTCATGTAATTATATGCTGCTTGTTATGTTCCCTTCCATTTTCAATTGCAAAAAGTGTTTGGTGTTGTTTTCTCTAAGCTGTTACATCAACTATTATATGATGTGAAATGGTTACAGTACAGGTAGTGAGACCCATGAGAGGTTTTTAATAGGAAAAGAATTAAATTAGTTTGTTGGTAGCATGATAAATCAAACCCCTCAGTCCTAACAGGTATAAACAGAGCTAGCAGCAAAGCAAGTGTTAATGTTGTTAAGAGCTTTCTAGTCTAGTTTTCCATTGTTCATAACTGCCAGTCTGGGCTGAAACTTCCCCTGTTGGGTGTCTGCTTCCAGCTGGTTTAGTTTAGCTTGTTTTGGTTTGTTTTATGATTTGTTTGCTTTGTTTTTGAAAGTTCCATTTACAACAATCAAGCCAACTACAAGGATGAATTTAGGGGAGAATGCACGTTTTTGTCTATTATAAACATTATTGTTTCACTGAACAGCCTCTAGTGTCTCTCTGGTTTGGAAAAACAGCTTTCAGATTTGGCAAGTAAATTGCTTTAGTTTCAGGGGTATATTTTTCCATCTTCATGAAAATGTAATGTGAAGAGAAAAATGGGGATTGGAGGCTTCTTAAAATTGTACAGCCCAGTTCCCAGAAAGTTCCATCCATGTTGATGATGTGTGACCTTTTGTTAGGCACACCTGCATTCACATTGAATATATGCTATCTCTTCAGAGAATGGCTGAGCTTGCACCTTGCTTTGCTGGTGTTCTGTATAACACAAGAAGCCTCTAAGGGGCTTGTAATGCAGCCCATCTCCCTACCCTTAAACACTTTTGCTTAGTCTACCTGTTGTTAGAGAGGTTGTTGGCAGGATGAATCACATAAAAGACCTAGTTCCTGCTGTGAGCTGTTTGCGGTTTTTGTTGGTCTTTCTGCATTAACACCAAAGGCTGCTCATAGTTGTAAGCTCCAAGTAAGATTTAATGCTAACTGCCATCCTAGAACATAATGTGATACCAGAAGGGATCTGTAGAATGGAGGAGTGCCTCTGAAATGCTAGAGACAGGAGAAAAGGTCCTGACTGGAGGAGAACAGCAGCTAAGCACCCTGAGACAACTATAGTTCTTTCTGTGCAAAAGATTGTTCTCTTCAGCAGGTGGGACTATGGAAGAGGAGCAAAATACAGTTAGAAACTGTATTTTTTGATGAGGATTCAGAGGCTTCAGGTGTAATAATCAGATTAAATAGGGAAGAAGTCAGCTATGTTCTGGTACTAAAAGGTGACTATTAAAATAGATTCTGTAAGCTTCCATATATACACACATACATATAAGCAATGAGAAAGACAGTGGTTTTAAAGTAATAGAACATTGTTTAAAAGGCTGAGGAGACTGATCTACAGCCCCATTATGGGTCATTACCCTTCAGTTCTGAGGTGATATACTTCCTTGACAATTTAGTATGAAAGCTTAGATCCAGAATCATCCCTGGCAATTCAGTAAAATGTTAAAAGGCAGACATACTGCTCTTTATAATAACCATGAAGTAATCTCACAGAATATATACATTAATAAACAGCCACACAAACTAAAGCCTTTTCTATGAACTAAACATATATAGAAATGGACTAAAGCCTGTAAGGGAAAAAGATGGGTTCTTGGGCAGTGATTTCACAGGGGATGGTGCTCAAATTTAACAGCTTGCTGCTGCCAAAAGGGCCTTTTCATTTCCAATTCTGCTTTTCGGTCCCTTATTTTCTGCAGTAATTGATGAGTTTTGCTCCTTCTTTCCCAAGCCTCAATTGATAAGTCAACTAAGTAGTCTGGTGAAACATAACCAGGCAGAAAAATATGAATTAGTTCAGTCAGTCATTTGTCTCAGTTAAGTCAGGAGGGTCTAAAAAGCATCAGGGTGCACAGGAAGAGCTGGGACTGAGTGGGTATGGCACTGACTGCAATTCTTGGTAATTTCAGTGAAATGCAACTCAGAATTATGGTTAGTCAAGTGGTATCTCAGGAATCTTCCCAGCTGCTGAATCCAACAAGCTCATAATTCTGGAAGGTAGCAAACACTGCCCACAGAATCCTGCCTGTGGGCCCTGGCACCTGACAATATTCAATTTTATTGTGAGTGATTATATCCACAATTTTAGCTTGAGGCTCCAGTAAAATCAGGCTTTAGCTACATTTTATAGTGGAGAGATTAATCAGAGCAAAATGTAAGAATGTGATTGTAATATGCAGTGCTTTGGGAGCACTGTAACTGCCTTGGGTTTTGATCACTGTAGCAATTTCGTTTTACTTGCTGAGTTCTCAGAAGTTGCTAGACTTCATCTCCTGAAGAAATGGAGGTTTTTCTTTTCAGTGTCTCAGAAATCCTTGGTCTAAATAAATCCAGATTCGGGCCACTAGCTGTGCTCTGCTTCCAAGACATCCCAAATTTCCCATATTTCCTAACAAATATGTGGATTTTAAAGCTGTTCAGGAAATCAGAATGAAATCCCAAGGGATTTTCTGAAATCCCAAGGGATTTCAGAGACATTTGAAGTGGTTTGTTTGTCATTGTGTGATGTTTTCAGCTAATTGAAAAAAAACCATGAAGATGAAAGTATCTTGGAATGGAAGGATTTTTGTGTGTGTGTATATTTTCAGGCCCTTTCCCTAATATTTATCATTTTGTGATAGACATCGGATCTCTGATAACCCTCACCACTATGTGCTTGTTACAAAGGGGTCTGGTTTTAGCTGCACACACTGAGACAAGTGTTTTCCAGACAGCAGCTCACTGAGGGACCAGAGCACAGGATCCCTTGCCCAAATTCTGGCAGACAGGCTGAGCCATACCTAAAAACTGTATATGCCTCAGAGCAGTTTCCGGAGCTGAAAAATAGTTTGAAGCCAGGAAGGTTTTAGGGTGGGAGTTTATATAAGCATGCCCTATCCTTACTCTTTCCTAGACATTAGTTCATGCCCACTGTTTTTGCTGTTTCATGCTTACCCATGGCCTTGGCAGGCGGGAGCATGACCGGACCATTTTTCAGGTTCATTAAGGGCAAGGTTATAGATAGGAGTATCCAAATCAAAACCATCCTCCAGATCATTCTCATACAAAAAAAGAAAGTAAAGTAAAATGCAACATACCTCCCAGAAAGAAGAGGTCTGCAAGATCCTAATTTTTATAGGTTGCACGGAGAGTGGCTCAAGCTGTGATCTTGCAGTAACTTATCTCAGTTGCCAGCTTCCCAGTTCTCAGTCCCTTCTTTTAACCACCTCTGGCATTCAGTGAACTTTATGCCAAGCCATGATGATAAATCATAAGAAAATTTAACTTGCTGTTGACATTTCTGTTCTGGAATTGCAGTCTTAGAGAGCTGATCCTTGCCCATGTTTCAAAGAGGGTAGTGAAAGGCAGAGGGACTGTCCCACTCAAACCCATAAACCATACTCTCAGGGGGCAAATAGAAGAGAGTGAGGCTACCCACAGCATGAGCTTCAATTAGGAGAGAATGGATATGATCAGGATTGGTAAAATCAAGGCGGTGGGTAGAGTGAATGTATTCCATTGTTCTCCAAATCCTACAGTACTAGAACTAGGGGGCACTCATTGAAACTAAAAAATGGTTATTTTAGGAAAGATAAAAGGGAATAGCTTTTTTTTTGTGTGTGTAGCAGGTATAGCGAACTTGTGGAATTTGCTGCCAGCAGATGTTTTGGAAGCAGATGGGTCAGCAGACTGGAAAGGAGACTAAACAATTAAATGGACTGCAAGTTCATAAAGAGATACTAAAAGAATGAGTATGGATGTGTGCTCCCTAACATCCCCAATGCAATGATTGTGGATGCTGGAGAACAGAGGAAATGTATATGCCTGGTTTGCATATTCTTATCCTTTGTTGTTATTGGAGGAAGGATCCTGGGGTGAGCTGGATGATGGTCTGACCTACCAGGACATCCGTCGTGTTCTTTTCAGAGCCTTGGATTTGTGTCCACACGTGCATGAGGACAAATGTGACGTTGATAGGAGTTTGTATTTTACTTTTGAGTTGATATCTCGGGGTTCTCTTACATCAGTGAAACCTGATGCTTAAATCACTAGCACTGCTATGTACCCTGTTGAGGAAATGTGCAGTTTTAGGACAATACATACAGTATTAGTACTTAGAAAGGGACCCTTAGACTAAACTAAAGCCCTCATGATATTGCACTTTTCTCCTGGGATCCTTCTGCTCTGTCTGCACAGAACTTGATGAATGCTCATGTCCTAGGAAAGATTTCATAAGCTATGATAGAATTTTCCCCCAGGATATCAGTGTATTTTGGATCTATTATTTGAGAGTCTTCTGCTGGAAAACATCTAGTGCAGCTGAAGGAGAGAGAGTGCCAGATTAGACAGATAACTAGGCATGAATCCCAACCCTTATTTGTATGACTATTCCTTCTGCCTTTAGATAATCACATTAACATCAGGAGTATTGCTTACACAAGTACTACTGAGAAAAGTGGTGAACAGGCTTGGGCCCTCAAAGCAATGTTCTTCTTCCAGTACTTTCCCAGTGAGATTCTGACCTTGTTTCCTTGTTAGAGCTCATTAGAGTTGGAACATCCAGGAAGGAGGGCTACCCACTACTTGGCAGCCTCTAGTAATTATTACCAACCCATCTTTTATATCTATCAGCAGCAACATTTTTAACAGTTCAGACACTTTGCCTTCCAAAGCTCATCCCACACTTAGATACACGAGGGTATATTAGACAATACTGTATTTCATGCTTGCTTCGTTATGGGGTCAGGTCTTTAGTCTCTGCTGAGGGATTTTTTGCTCATGTATTGAGCAGAGGAGCCAGAAACCTTCCCCGATCATATGGTAAAGAAGCCCCCAGTGCGTGTAAGACTGGTATCTTGTGATAGTTGTCATCAGGCAGTGTG